TTTATACCATGAGAATACCACACCACGCCAAAAAAATACAATTTTTTTTCAAAGAATAGAACCTAACATCTGAAATCGAATTATAAATATTGTATAATTTACTCGAATATTTGTTAAGTATACATCATGATCAACGGCCGTTAATAGTCAACTTCTTGACATAGGCCTCTCCTTAGAAAGGAGGTTTTGGCCTAATATACTACGCTGGCCAGGCGGTTTTGGTGTAGAGTTTGTTTCAAGTTTTTCTTCTCTTTGCAGTGGTAGCGTTAATATAATTAATTTGTACAACCATTAAAATTGTAATAAAAATTTTAAATGTTTTAATACTATTTAAATAAATGACTATTACTCATTTACAAAATACATACTGTTAATAAACAATCGTACAAATTCTATGAAATATCATTTAAGTGGTCATCGTAATTTCATTCATAATTTCATTCAATGGTCGATTACGATTAATCGGCTATTGAAACTAAACTAAATTAGTGGTTGTATACCTACAGAGTTAAATATATTTATCCGCCCCGGCTTCGCACGACTGCAATGTAGGTAGAACTAATACTGCTAATGTGGTGTCAGTGTGGAGTAATAATGTATACACTGAATAGGATGAGACTATACTACAATACATCTTTATGTGCAATATTTATAGGCAGACTAACGTACGGCCTGACGCAGCGACGGCGCATTGTCCCCGCATTTTAAATCTCTTATATCTATGTAGAAATTGAAATTCATTTTAATGATATGCTGTGAAAGGCAATTTTGATCTACATTAAATGCACAAAGTTTCTAATGTATTTATTTGGATAAGGAATTCTGTTTAAGGTACATATATAATTCCGTACTACCTACATGATTTTGATCTATCACGTAAGGTTTAGCCAGCGTTTGAAGTGTAAGCGCACAAAACTCGGCTCGTACAGAGTGATACCACGGCCTCACAGAAAACCACAATTGATTTGTTACTTTTCACCGAGTAAGTGAGGTCACCGGAGTCCAAACCTTTCCTTCCCCCGGTTCTAGGGCAGGATGGGCTCAAAGGGAGGCAATTCATTTGTGACTCTTGAGGTGCAGGTGTTAATAGGCGGCGGTGGTCATGTGTTCTGTGTCTGGGTACAATTTATCTAAAATATGTATGTATTTAGAAATATATAAGTATGTTTGGGACAGGACAGCCGTGTTTGAGATGTGTAAAGTTATTATTATTATATTATTATAATATATATATATATATTATTATTTACCATCAGGTGACCCATCTTCTCCTTAGACCCCTTAACCATAAAAAAATATCTGTACAGTTAGTAGTAGATGTTCAAAACAGACATGACATTTGATACTCTGCTGCTGGTAGGTAAAAAAACCAACTACTTCTGCCAATAATTTCTACAAAAAAATGCAACTACTTTTACCAGTACGGTTTTACATTTACCATTTACACGGTGGGCATAAATAGAATTGGTGGTCTCTTTTGTGGCGGTTACACATTAGGTCGCATTAGGTCAGCTTACAATCAATTGTTATTTGTGCAAAAAGAATAAAATCAATAAATAAATCAAAACAGTACATAATATACTGTTTTTTTTAATAACAAGTAATCTGTATCTAAATATTATTATCATCTTATTCATAAAATAATGTCAATGGGTATGTAACCAAACGGATTACGAGGTGCTTAACGAGCTTATTATTGAGATATTTATGGTAGTCCTTGTTTTTTTTTTGTATTTAACTACATAATGTTTCGTTATTGCTTATTGAATTTCGTGTCAATTAACAATAAATAATAAAAATAATAATAATCTCAGACATTTTACTCACGGTCGTTCAATTCCGAACTAGACAGAGCCTGTATTAAATATTTCCAAAACATACTTAAATATTTCCAAATCATACATATTACAGATTAATGACACCCAGACACTAAGCAAATGCTTGTACTCAGCACACAATTATTTGTCCTGGGTGGAAATAGAACCCGAACGACCAGAACACGAACCAGAATTCACCTGCTTGTTAATTGCCAGCATTTAATTTTATTTTCTATGTATAATAAGTATGTATTTACAAAAAAAAAGTATATATGTATTTATATCAGTTGTCTAGTACCCATAGTACAAGCTCTGCTTAGTTTGGGACTAGATGGCGTTGTGTGAATGTAGTAAAATAGATATATTTTTATATTTATTTATTTCCTCATTTCTTTTTCAGATTTTTTATATTTGTTGGTCATAGGTAGATTGGTATTTAAGCATTATTCTTCTGTTGCCAAACACAACACATTCACATCAACAGCCTTTAATAGTCCACTGCTGGACAAAGGCCTCTCCTTAGAAAGGAGGTTTTGGCCTACTATACCACGCTGGCCAGACGGGTTGGTATAGGGTTTGTGTCAAGTTTTCCTTCTTTATGCAGTGGTGTCCTGCGTTGTTCTGTACCCTTAGTCGGCTCTTACGACACCCACGGGATGAATTGGGGTAGTGACATTCCGTATTCTTAATCCGTCACTACACGGATAATCCGTCACTACACGGATAACACACACCTTACACAACACCTTAATTTTTTTTAAACCATGCCAATTTCGCATTGATAAGGTGTTGTGTTTAATATTCATGGTCCAAGTGACATTGTTTTTTCTGAATACATATCTAATTTGCCAAGCAATGGCAGCCGCTCTTTCCAAGCAATGACAGCTTCGCTCAATAGCGCCAAAAACTAAGACAATTTTACAAAATCAAAACGCAATTTAAAACGATGATACCCAACTTTTTTTTTTATGAAATAAAGATATTTTCACTTTAAGTTTGAACGAACTCTAAATTAAAATAACATGGCTTTCGAATAAGATTTATATGAATTTATATGAAATGCTGGTTTTGAAAATCTCCAACTTCATAGGTAAAGACCTATTAAATACTTTACGTAAAGAAACAAGAGAGGCATTTAAATAAGTAGTAAATAATCTCTACCAAGTGCATATTCACGGTGGGGCACGCTGGGACACTTGCCCCACCTTGGATGCCGTAATTGGCATCAGAACAATATTTTTTTCAAAATTACCCCATCTTATCGAAAAGGTACACACGAAATATATTATAGAGTACACCTAGAATTTATAATAACGATAAAATACAATGGATATTCTTATATAAAAAAGGTCCCTGATATTTAAAGTTTTGAAAGTCAAGTTTTGAATAAAGGCACCCAGAATCCTCGCAATAAATATCTACAAATGAATAAATAAATTATTATTTACTTGTCCCGTTTTCACCTTATCTTAAAACCATTCTGAATATTAACTAGTTCTCTACTCTTTTCTGATCTAGTTTACAATGGGTATTTCTTTTTACATAAGTCAACAGAATTAACTAAATAGTGCTGTAGAAACTAATTACAAATAAATAGTAATTACTCTTATTACATTCGTCCGTAAATGCTATCTCTTTTTCATAGTAGGTCCAAAAATTGGGGACTACTGTTTATATACGTTTATAAATCACCGTAACCTATGGACAATTGTAATTTAAACAAGAAACTCATTCTGCAGTCGGAACGTTTTTTTTATTATAATTATCTGCCTATTCCCAATGACTTCAAATAAAGAACGAGGTTCTCAATTCGATTGGACTTTTTTATGTTTGTAACCCCAGAACTCTGTAATTTAAGAAACGATTCGGTAGTTATGTTTTTTGTTAATTGAAATTTTTCAAAATTTTATATTTATATACGAGTATATATATATATACCAACAAATATACCCATTAAGTTCCGTTTAGTTTTAAATTTGAAAAAAGTACCACTCCTAAAAGGTGGAAAACTCAAGTTTAAACTTGGTTGGGGTCGGCTTTAAGTCTACTATGATACGGATGAACTTGAAAAGTTTAACAATGAAGAATACAATTTATTATGCTTTATCATGAAGTAGGTACATTGAAGTCGATGTAACTGTTTAAAGTTAATTATGTGACTATATGATTTATAAGTGCTACTACTACATTTATGAGATTAGTATAAAAACAAACACTTCACCCTTTCAAAGTTCAATACAAAGTCAAAAATTATAGGGTCTATGACAAAAACCATTTCTCTCAAACTGTGATGTTTTTAGTATAAATCATTTAATTTTAATCATCTGCAAGATGATTAAAATTCGAAAAAAACCTGCATTCATCTTGCAATTCGAAAAAAACCTTAATTAAAAATACTTCTGAATACAATTAAAAGAGCTTATTACGGAATGAAAAAATAAAAAATAAATGGGTACATTAACACTGACCGCCTCTTCGTATTATTATAAATATTATTCTTAAATATATTAATTGTTATCCATAATTTTAGTTTTAACTAGTTTAAATGATCGGATACTAAAACATTCCCCCGGGCATTTTGAATGATTGAGGTTTATTGTATTTAAATAAAAATGTTTAGGTTCTATGACCCAAAAAAATTGAGACAAATTTTATTTCAAATCAACACTTGTAAATTGTTTAATGTTTTTTATGATGAATTTGAACGAAGAAGACACAGGATCTCGATGTTTGCAATCTCGATGCAAAATTTTGTCTATAGAATCGTATCTTAATGTTTTTATTTTTTTAACATGCAATTTATCGACCAGACTATATCTGGTAATCTTAAAATTGAAACTTTTTAGTCATATAACTGCAAGATTAAGCAAAATTAAGAAATAAGAGTGAATTATAGAATTAATAATAGGTTAATTTAGGTCTCGGTAAACTATTAAACATTAAATTACATTACGTTCAATTTATATAAGGAAATAAACACATGAATTGTAAAAACATAAACAGTACAGTACATTGCGGTAAAAATTGGCAATGTAAAAGTATTTCCTTTTAATTGTGATTAGGTACCTAATTACCTACAGAATTTATTAATAATGAAAAAATATCCGTTCATTATAATTTTAAATAGGTATTTAATGTCTACCAAAATTAAATACCCATAAATATGATATAAATCGTACTCACAAATAACCGCTAACACATATTGATTAAGCCGTGTTCCCTTTGTCCACGTTAGATTTCTAAGTAAAATATTCATTTCCTTTTTTTTATCACTCGTAATGTCACTATTAAGGTTTTATACAGCCAAACGCGTCAATGGCTTCAACCGGACTGGCGCGTAAACGCGACAACAACAAACCACATAATTACAGTTCGATTCAAATCTTGATTCTGTTAATGTGATACTATTATTTACAACTATGACCAGAAGCAATAATCAAAATGGCATACTTTGGTCATTATGACGTCAACATAAATATATGCCTTTTCGGAAAAGGTGTAAATTTGAAATCCATACTTTTTATTATATTTTTCAAATGTTATGTCATCCAGTAGACAAAACGTTAGGTAGTAGATTCTTTTAATAAATATATTATTATTACAGTGCGTTATGAACCCCGTCGGGCCCGGCAATTTAGGAGAGAGGACGAAGTTCTCGTACTTAGCTAGCCTATACTTAACTTTAATATTCATTTATTTTTACTTATGAGTACAGGTATAAAGAAAGACTTATAATTATACATGCCATATCAAACTGAATAAACAAAAACCCTAAATAATGTAAATGTTTTATAAGAAGACGTACGCCAGAGCAGTTTTTTTATTAATTCTTAATAGGCAGACTGGTCCGTGTGGTGACGGTTGAAGAATACGGAGTGTCACCACCCCAATTCATCCCGTGGTGTCGAAGGAGCCGACTAAGGGAGCAAACTACGCTGGACAGCAGCACTGCAAAGAGAAGGAAAACTTGATACAAACCCTATACCAATCCGTCTGGCCAGCGTGGTATAGTAGACCAAAACCTCTTTTCTAAGGATTCCAGCAATGGACTATCAAAGGCTGTTGATGAGGCGGGTGGGTCCTCAATCTCAGGACAGACCGCAGTCATTATCCTAGGGTCGGCTTATAGTCTACTACGAAACGGCTAAACTTCGATTTTTTTTACTTAAGACCTCCACAAAGCAAGTACTAGGCGATATCGAAGTTCTGTAGAAAGACTTGTGGTACTTTTTGCTGCTCAAACTATCCGTAACGATTCCACAAATATTCGAATGGCACCTGATGGGAGGGGTCCCAATGTGATAAGAATGGTCACCTACCTACCATATACTGACTTGGCTAGGATTACTTAACTTTGCAATGTGTTTACCTAGCACCACGAGCCCCTCCCCATTTTATAGATAAGTTATCCAGATTGCCATGAGCACAATCTCGATAATTGTTCTATACTTAATAGGTCGTTATGCCCCTCTTTCCCACTGGGGACTCTGGGCACATGTTCATCGAAATCCCCGTCCATCGAAATCCCCGTAATTCCTGCCAAATCACCAATCGATAATCCATATTTGTTATCGAGAAACATACTTATTTCGAAAAATGATTGACTACAATACTTTCTTCGTCTATTCTAACAAAATAGTGTTCAGTCAAAGTCGTAGGGGTCCCATTATCCTAATGTGCCCAGGGCCTCTAATAGGCAAGAGACGGGTCTGAGTATATTAGTATGTTTATCAGCAGTCTGGTTACCATAGAAGGCTCTGCGGCCGTGTGTGGGATGTTTAAGGAAAAACATGTATGTATTAGGGAGCGTAAGCATACTGTCACATGCCTGTAACCTGGGCCTCAATTCTGCTAATTTATGTTAACGTACAAGCAACTGTCATTGACATGATGACATTGACATGACATTCCACCGACACAATATTAAAATAGGAGAATTGACGCCCTGGTCTGTCGCCGGGAACTCCGAGGTTTCCAACTTATAAGCTCCAGTAGCCCGTTTCAAACCGCCGCACTTCAAAGTGCACAGATTTGTACACACACTACTAAGTGAGCAAGAATTACAAATTCCAAGTGTATTTCATTGCTATTAAATAGCTGAATAAAAAAAATCATTGAGGGGAAAAAATTCACTTTCTAGCAGTCCCAACCCCTGATTCTGTTTCATTTCTTTTTTTTTAAGGCAACTCCCGCATTAGGAATATATAATGTGTCGCGAGAACACTGGGGCACACCCAGACTCAGAACAACAATTTGTGGATCACACATAAGGTGTTGTTCCGATTGGGGATCGAGCTTACATTACTCCGCGGAGTAGAAAGCGACGTGGCGACAGCTTAAAACCGGAGGGAGGGACTGAAAGCTGTAATTACTTACCAGCACCCTATAGACGAAAGTATGTTCACTAAATACCTATTCTACAAACTGGAATCGTCACCTGAAGTTAATACCTAAATTTTAACCCTAATATATTATATAATAATAATAAATAACTGCCTGCATGCCTAATAAAATAAGCGGTTTAAGCGGTCGCCACGCCGCTTCCTACTACGCTAGATTGACTGATATTACTTGAGTCTTCGTAAATTTCCCCGTAAATGAAAAAACTGGAACATTATTTTCATTTCTTTAAATAACTTTTCATATTGTGCTTAATTTATCTAACGGTGACTTATTACATGAAGTCAATAATTGGCCACACAAAAAATTAAAACATTATTGTTGCCGAACATTTGCCTGCGAATCCATCCAGAGTTAAGGATTTATTTACAAATAAGTCGGTTATTATGGCATTGTAGGTAAAACAAACATCAACTCATGTTTTTCTACCAAACACACAATAACCTAAAATAAAAATGTTATGTTTAAGTGAGCAAAAGACAATAGGGTGTTAAAAAATAAAAAGTAGAAATAAAATATTTCATTTTTAAAAATAATTAAAAACTTGTTACGTAATATATGTTTGCAAATAAGCTGATAATGGTAACTACCAACGTTTAGATGCACTGTAGCAAGGAAATTATTTATTAGATGTTATATCTACTTTAATTGTATATGTACTCCAATTGTACATGTATAAAATAATAATTAAAATAATAATATTTTCGGACATTTGACACACAACGCCATTTAGTTTCAAACTAAGCAGAGCTTGTGCTAAGTAAGCTAGATTGACTGATAGAACACTTATATACCTACTTTTTTCGTAAATAGGTACATATTACACATAGAAAACACCTAAACTCCTAAACAAACATTTACAGATCATACAAACATTTGATCATACCCGGGAATCGAACCTAAGACCAAAGCACAGAAGTCGCATACGCTACCACTAAACGACCGAGGCAGTCAAAATATATGTATTGCCCAAGAACATCTATTTATTCTGGACGACCAACACATGAATATCCTCAAACATACGTAGCCCCCCCACTATGTATTACTTGTACTCGTACCTTCTTACTTCATCACAAACTCGCCCGCACTCACAAGCCCGCGGCTCCGCTCGCGTGGTTCTGATTTCGTGTTACTAATTTGGAAAATGACGAACTTTTTTTTATGGTATAAGGGGGCAAACGAGCAGACGGATCACCTGATGGTAAGCAACTACCCCAGGGACACATGCAACTCAAAAGTTACAAGTGTTGGAGTCTTCGGTAACCTCACTCACTCAGTGAAAGGTATATCACTCCGGTCGAACCGGTCCATTCGTCCCGAAGCATGGCTCTCCCACGGTAACTTACATACAACCGTTCAGCCCTTATTTTACTCTCATAGGGATGAAATTTCCAAAAAACATTTCTTAATGGGTGCTTAGTGTGCTTACAACATGGAATCAGCTGCCAAAATGCATAGATGTAATGAGTTTAGATGCACTTACTATCAGACAATATACAATTAGAACGGCGCTACTGCAAATTTTTCATATTAAGTCAGTAGGTTATTTTTGGTTTTCTAAATTAACCTTTTAACCAATGCAAACATTACCTTTAAGTTGATGGTCTCGCAACGAGACTTGATCGTGGGAACACCTATCATCATGTTGAGAGAGAATTTTCAAGACAAGGCAACAGAAGTCTTGTAGCCAACTTCTGCTATCATCTGGCTAGAAACTATCGTAGAGCAGGTAGCGAGTCTCGACCAGAAGAGTGTTAGGCTTTGGAAGCGATTTGTATAAGACGCCTTCCATACTGTTAAATGAAACCACAAAATGGAACAATATACACATCCTTTTACTTCTACATATTAACCAAAAACTAAGGCTACTATAATAATAATAGCTTGACACATCTTAAACAGGCTGATCCCAAACTAGGCAGAGCCAGTGCTATGGTAACCAGACTGCTGATGATAAACATACTTAAATATTTCTAAATACATACTTATTATAGAGAAATTACACCCAAAACCCAGAATAAATAAATGATCGTGCTCATCACACAATTAATTGTGCGGCCTCACAGAAAACCGGTGTTAAATAATTCCTCCGTTGCTTTTCACCGAGTGACGTTCATCATCATCACATCAACAGCCTTTAATAGTCCCGGATATAGGCCTCTCCTTAGAAAGGAGGTTTTGGCTTAAGGAGGCTATTATACCACGCTGGCAGGCCAGACGGGTTGGTATAGGGTTTGTATCAAGTTTTCCTTCTCTTTGCAGTGCTGTTGTCCTGCGTATTTTGCTCTCTTAGTCGACTCTTACGACAAGCACGGGATGAATAGGGGTGGTGACACTCTGTATTCTTAATCCGTCACCACACGGATTTTGATTTGGTCTGAGTGTTTCTATGTATAATATGTATGTTTTTACAAAAAAAAAAAGTATATATGTATTTATATCAGTCGTCTAGTACCCATAGTACAAGCTCTGCTTAGTTTGGGACTAGATGGCGTTATGTGAATGTAGTAAATATTATTATTATTATATTGCTCCTGGGTCCATGTCAAGTGTACCCTACACCATTTGTTTCGATGAGCGCAATTCCCATGGCGTATAGGTGGACACCTAATTGGGGGTCGTGCACGGTTTGGTAGCTAACAACAACGATTTAGAATGCTTTAAACCTATCTCCCGGGCGGTTCATCGACTGACGACTTGCAGTCATTTGTATGTTTCGGTCCTGTCGAGCAGTTGTACCTACTCCTTCTATGTCTTGGGTGCTGCTCAGCAGTATCCTCTGTATTAACATAACGCTGCCAAAGACGACAAATAACGCTCCTATTGACACTAAAATGCCGAGACACCTGGGACTGA